CTCAAAGGAAAGTAAGCAAACTGGGTCAGGCAAATAAAAGGGAGCTTCTTTCTCGGCCCAGCTCCTTACATGTGAGCCAAGTATTTACAGAGCTTCCATTCAGGCTGCCACTCGCTTTACAAATTGTCGCCATTTACCGACGTCGAGCACCCCAAAGGTCCTTGGCAGAAAGTCAACCTGGATAAACATACGCGTGCTCCCCGCTCCAAAGGATCGCACATTTACATCTGCTCAATTCAGCAGCTTAGTGATTTATGTCCTGCAATTGACTAGAGATTTTTCGGCTGTCAGTGTGACTGACTGACTGAGTGACTGACAGCCAAGCAAATTGCGAATTTCCCCTTTAACACAGGTAGCTTTAAGCCAGACCAAACCTCGCACCTCAATCCGGGTGGGCCACAGACCGCACTGACCACAAGCTATGCATAGACCGGACATTCCAAAAACTTAATTACCGCCCGGCCAGCAGCTACTTATCGGGGGAGTTGGATACTACTCAAGCCGTAAGTGGGGAAACTGGGAGTTCGGAGACATGATTGGCTCCTTCACACCTCGTAAAGAGCCACTACTCTTGGGCTGGGGAGGCATGAAGCGAGGGAGACACTGGCAAAGTGACCACAATAATAAACGCAATTTTAGCAGAAATCCAATTAAGTGCCGAGGCATATGAGCCGAGACGTCTGTCCAAGAAAGTTTGCCAAATGCGAAACCAGAAATCCAACAAAACCTAGCGAGTGCCGAGGGTCCTAATACCCTGAAATGGACTGGGGTTTATAATTCTTTTATATTAAAAGCATTTAAAAATTCTCCATTATTAGGGTTAATTGAAATAAAATTAGAAAACACTTAGAGGAAACTATATCTTTGTCAATTTAATTTGTCTTTTAATTTGAATAACTAACAGCAACATGAAGTCCACTAATTAAACTCAGAGATATTAATTTAATGTATTACAAATTAATTGTGAATCAAAAACGCATATAAACTATGCTATCCTAACGGAAGAGTATCGTAGACTGCGGCTGGTCAACAACTTTCCCCAATTCCCGGAGCAACAGCATCATTGATGTTGTCCAATGGCAATGACGATGAGTATTATAACCACGATAGTGAGTGGATAGTTCAGCCACTCTCCTCGACTGTCTGCTGTTTATTGCGTTCTCTGATAAAAATTGCAATTATTTAGCCAAAACGTTCGGCCGAGGGAGTGCGAGTAGGAGTCCAAGTCCAAGGAGGCTGACTTGGCAGAGTGGACAGCATGACAAAGTCGTCTGTAATTTATTTCCACTCGGTCTGTGTTGACTTAGCCCCATCCAGATGGATGGGGCTAATGGGCGGGGCTATGAGTAAACTGGCAGCTGGAGCAGCAATTTCGGGATTGTCATTGACGTGGCCAGAGGACATGACTGGATGGATGATCGGCCTGGTCGAGAGGTGACATCCATGTGGGCGTCTGCCGGAGTTGCGCCTAATGAAGTGCATGCAAATCTCTTGATGTGAACACCGGCGCCTTCTAATAAGTCCAAGTTTGCGGCGAAAAAGGTGGGGCATCGGCGTCCAAGTTTTAGTGCAGCCCAGTCCCTTCTGCTCCTTTGAGAGTGCAGTGCTGAGTGTTCAACTTTTGCCACTTCAAAATTAACCAAGGGTTCCATTCCATTCCCCAGCCATGTTCTAGGTCGTCTTGGTTGAACAACACTGGAAGAAATCATTTCTCATCCACTTGAATGAACTTATATTAAGAATGGAAGTGATTTCTACTCTCTAACATATTAGTGGCTAATAAAAAGAGACTTAGAGATATACCAAACTCTTATTCAATATTAAATCGAACATCTTTTTAGTTTCAAAAAGTTTTCCAATTTTCTTAAAAAGCTCAGGTAAGCTACCTCGTTTTATTTGAGTGCATTTGATGTGGCCAATGTGCTGCCGTTTGCCGTTTTGATGTTGATAAATGATGCTGCATTTTCATTTGGAGAATTTGTTGCCAAAGAAAAGTCACTGATTGACTAACACGATGAGGAGAGCTGGCTGGAGAGCTGAAGGCAGACAAGTGGCTGCTTGTCAGCAAAACGTTTAGTGGCAAAATACACATGGCCAGGAACACTCCAGCCACAGCACCAGCCACAGCCCGAGCTCCAGAGCCCGGTCTTCGGTGGTTAGCGAATCAATTATGCCACAGACACCAGTTGCAATCAGGTCCGAGAGGAGCAAGCACTGCAGCAAAGACAAAGAGAGAGTTTATCGAGTGGCAGGGGCTTCGGTGGCAGCTGCTAATGCAAAAAGTTTTCAACTCCAGATGCTCCTGATGGAGTGGGTTGAATGTCTTGGTGAGGCGCCATCTAAGGCTAAGTAAACACAAGCCGAGTGGCAGGTAAAGTCGAAGAGAATACTTGAAAAGTCGCTTTAAGGTCTGCCTTTAAAGTTGGTCACGTTTGATATACCACCAGCAGATCCTGTTTCAGTAAAACCAATATGTTCTCCACTTGTAAATATTACGAAAAAGTATCTGTAACTTGCTAGAATTTAATTACAATTTTAATACAAATCAACTACAGCTCGAGTGTTATGAATTCTGCAGAAAAGCTCCTCAAAGCAATACCCAAAACCAGCCAAGAGAAGTACTTTTTTAATCCCTCTCCTGGTCAAAGATTATGTAATAAGTAAAGGACTATCGAGTATCCTTTATCCCGACAAATGCCTGTTTATTTTCGACCTTCCACTGACAAGTGCCTGGTATCCAAGTCAAAGGTGTTTGCGGAGAGTAACCTAATGAAGTGACAGAAAAGGGACCGGAACCGAACTCATTGAAATTGAAAAACTCATTAAAAGCCGGCAATAGGCCAGGAAAGCCAAAGGGGTGGGCAGGGTGAGGGCAATCCTGGGCCCGGACTAAATAAATGTTAAAACGCAGCGAAGAAGTGTTAAAATATTCACCAACTTTGTAACTCTTTTTAACGAGCGATGCGTTGGAGCCGCTCGAACGTCGCGGGGGCGGTGTGGGCGTGGCAACTAAAATAAACACATTTAAAGCGAAACTTTATGCACAGCCAAACTCATTTGCATGTTAAATATTTCACCCACCCCGGAAAGGGAGATAGAGCTCGGCGGATGGGAAACCCAGTAGTAGCCGGAAAATTGTCTCGGAACTTCACACTTTAAACTGGCGGCGACGAAGCAATCGGAAAAAATGCCGGGAAACGTGAATGCTTTACGAACATTTTAATTAAAATTTGCCCAAGAAGAAAGCGAGTGCGTAACATAGCTGGAAAGGAGGCGTGGCTCCGCCAACGCCCCCGAAAATGGGCGACTTTGGAAATTTCAATTAAATGCGCACATGCCAAAAAAAGGGCAACAGGACCAAGTGCAAAACAAATTGGAGGAAGGTCCTGCTTAGGTAGGAATACCCTTTGTGGTCGATTGGACTTTGGAAAACAAGGTTATGCAGAGTAGGATTTTAAAAACAGAATGGAAATCTTTAAACAAAAGATTTGTATCAAGATTAACATGGTCTATTAAAGGGAAAACAAATAATAATGCCTTTCAAGGGCTTTTCTACAGAGCTCTCTCTCCTAACCCAAATGATCACTTTACGCTAACTGGATCAATTGAGCTCTTAACCATGTGAGCACTTACTGTATTTCTTTAAGAAATCCCTTGAAATGTTTTTGCATTAAATAACAAAAACCCTTTGCAAGGGAATCCCTATGTGAACCGCCATGGGGGAAATTCGGATCCAGTAAGCGGTATAGATAAACACTTGAGGATGGCAAAAAGGATTTGGGGATTCGGCTGGGATGCCTAAGCTGCTTTTGCGCGTGGGCGTGGCATGAAATGGAAATCAGGCGGCGCTTTAAGCTGCCTCCACTCCTCAGAGGAGGACCAGGAGGAGAGAGGGGCTACACAAGGAGGGGCTACAGCCAAGAGCTGGTTGCAAGTCAACTGTCTACTTTGCCTGTGCCCAGGACAACTGCCGGGGCTGAGTTGTACGAAGCAGCAGGATGTTCATTTGGATATTGCTCTTAGGAGTGGAATTATATCCATAATTATACAAATCTTAAAGTAAAATTTGTTGAAATTACAAAAAACTCTACCCTCTAGTTTCTTTTTTATAAATTTGTTCTTAATTTTCTATAAAGATTCTTGTTTTCTGTCGCCTTTGGACTCGTTTTGCCTGGCAGCTGGCATCACTGCTCGTCAGGATCTTGACTTCTAGGTCCTGGGTCCTGGCAGCTGGCATTCACGCAGTCAAGCAGCCAAGCCAAGTCAGGGCAGCCCCACTTGACAACACTCGAGTGTTCCGTTCCGCTGGCGTGTTTAAGATTAAAGCGCTGCGCCTTGCAACAAAAGTTGCAGTGACAATGGGCGGCCAGCCATGCGATGAGGACGACAACGACGGTTACAAGTGGGCCCCAGGCATGGGTGCCAGTCTGGTCCGGGTCCGGGTCCGGAACAGAAATATGCACCCCTTGCACTCCCACGAAGGAAAGTGCTTGAAAAAGAATGGCAGCCGAATTGCAATGTCAGTGTCTCCGGAGAGGGGAAAAAAAGCTGCACAATGTTGCCACATTGCACTGATGAGGGGTGGCCTGTGGGTGGCTCCTGGCCGCCCAAGTGAGTGCGTGGCCTTGTCCTTGCTCAGCCAGCTGGCAATGAGCGTGTAGCTTTCCCTTGCAAGTCCCCAAGCCGGAATATGTCTGACATAAGTCATTTAAGATAGCTGTTAAACCCAACGTTGTTGCCACGATTTGATGGCGCCGCAGGATCCGATTGCAAGCCACCAAGGATACGATTTGATTCCTTAGATCAGTACAGTAAACCGTTGAGATTATTATTATATTAACAAATCCCCCATGGCCCTGCTTAATGTTGTTAGAAACTTTATCAGAGGGAAAGGAATCAGGAAAATGACTGAGATGATTCCAGCGGATCACCTTGCTCTGAAAGGAATACTTTATTTGTAATTTATTAGTCTTTCAAGAAATGATGTTTGTATTCTAGTGTCATTTGGTTTTCTTATAGCTAATTCCATTTCCAGCTTACCACATCTACTGCGATAAATTGATCAAAACTATCTGTGCTCAGCTAAAAGAAATTTCGTAATATTTTTGTAACATAGCAGCTATCGTATATATTCTTAAACTCTATAAAATATCCCCAAATGGGTACCTTGGGCAACTCACTAACCGTGGTGCGGGAGCGCCGCCGCTTCGGACGCCAGTGCCTTTTCACTGACCGCAACGAGATGATCCTCAGCATCCAGCCAAGCGGACGCATGCGCTTGAAGTATATCCTGCGGAACCCTATCAACGAGGGGACGCAGTTATCCGATCAGATGGCGCTGTCCTCGATCATTACCCACAATGTGGTCTTGGACTCGCACGGCATAAACCACTACGAGGGCGGTTGGAACATAAGGAGGTAAACGTTATGGACGAGGAGTCCACTATGCGCTACCGCAAGAAGGTCGAGAGAGACGACTCGTGGGGCTCGAGTTAATCAGTTAATCCGCGACGTGATGACGATTAGCTGCCAGAACAACGCTATTAACATCTATGAGGACTATTTCACGGACTTGGCCGAGGATCTTGGTCACGGGATCAAGATGCGCCTAGACGCCAGAGGCATCAACGTTTTCCACGACCTGTGGGTACCACAGCGCACGCTAGCCATGTGCGAGTGGTTGAACAATGACCCGAGCCAGTTTGTGCTATCGTACATCAATGACAAGGGCAAGGAGCTCATCAACATGATGCCGGATATGGCACCGGCAACCCCAATACCTTCTATGTGTGGGACGTGGACGACCCCACACGCCCGGTGGCCCACTACGAAGCCAACAAGAGGGTACAGATCGCCAGGGTCTGCATGAAGAACGAGAGCTTCATGGTGGGTGGCCTCAACAATGGCCAGGTGTGCTACTGGGAGACCTCCGAAATGGGAGCACCAAAAAAGGTTTGTCCACTGGAGGCCTCGCATCGCGAAGAGACAACGGCCCTGTGCTGGGTGCACAACAAATCGAATACCGAGTTTTACACCGGCTCCTTGGACGGGTCCGTCAAGTACTGGGACACTCGCGACATGATGATGCCTGTAAATGAGGTAATAGCCGAGCCGAATCCTGAATTGGTGCAGAATCGACAGAACGCGCACGGGGTCACCGTGATGGAGTTCGAGTATACAATTCCGGTGCGCTACATTATTTGCACGGATATGGGCTATGTGTTCGTGGGCAACCGGAAGGGTCTCACACCTGCGGAAACCATCACAGCCGCATATCCGATGTTCTCCGGACCCATCCGCAGCGTTATGCGCAATCCGTTCTTCGTGAAGAATTTCCTGCTCATCGGTGACTGGCGTGCCCGGATCTGGTCGGAGGAGGTGAAGAATTGCCCGAGTACCTTCTACTTCCGCAGCAAGCATCAATTGCTAAGCGGTGCCTGGAGCACCGGACGCTGCTCGCTCTTCGTCACCGGCGACGAACGTGGCAACTTGCATTTCTGGGACCTTCTAATGAGTCATCAAAAACCATGTCTGACCGTCAAGTTCCCGCACGCAATTACCTATTTGGTCTTTCGCCCAGATGGACATCTGCTTACTGTGTGCCTCAAGAACGGAGACTGCATGATTCTGCGGCTAGAAGAAGGCATGCGAAGTGCCACAATCAAGGAGAAGTCACTCATTATGGCGGTAGAGATTATCCCTAACTATGTTCCTTGATCACTCGTTTCCTCAGATGTTCGAGCGAGAGATTTCTAGATGCAAGCTACTAGAGGCTCGAGAGGAGGAAATGAAGCTTAAGAAGCGCCTTACCATGTCTGTTCAGGAGGAAGAAATCGTACCTGCGGAAAAAATTGATCCCAAGAAGAAAAAGGGACCAGTCAAAAAGGATGCAGCGGAAATAGAACTCCAAGAAGATGAGGCCAGTGCTTTTGTGAAGCTTGTTGAGAACGACACCGAGTTTGGCCAGGCAATGCTGGAGTTCAATGAGGCTATGGACGCCATTGCCGTCAAGCGGTCCAAGAGGGTGTTCGTCGTGGAGCACACCGTCTTTGAGGTGGATCAGACCGCTTAAAGTGCGACTAAATACTTAAATTACATCCTTTATAAAATATATATATAGATATATATCTTTCGGTGAATTTTCACATTCTGTATTCTGTAAACAATGTATGCAATCTAATAAACGCAGTATAAAGCGGTTACCAAAAAGATTTCTATGGTAAAGAATACCTTGTTTATATCCGTGGTTATATACAATTTAAAATAGAATTGTATATAGGAATCCTTTTGTATAAAATGAAATCTTGAATGGATTTGAAATTTTCTTATTATTCCCCCACTCACCCCAAATACCTGCTTTGATTATGGATACCAAATCTTTGGCACGTTTCAATTCATTAGCTTCGTGACATTTGTCGTCTGATTTAACGCCAAGAAAACCCCTCTGCGTTCGCTCCGTTCAACCTCCATCTCTGCGATCCACTCACTGCACTCATTCATGCATTCATTCACCATTCACACGCATGCCTTCCCCCGTCAGTCTCCAACCAGCCTTTTTCGGGGACTGCAATGAAAACGCATTGTGGTCGAAATTGTTAACAAAATGTCAAACGGAAACGGCGACGCCGCCGATGACAACAGCAGCAACCAATGCAACAGCAACAGCAACAGCAACAGCAACGACAACAGCAACGACAACAGCAACATCAATGGCACAGCAGCAACATAAAGAAGTCACAGTTAAGAACTTAAAGTTTTTTTTTTTAATTGTTAAAGAATAAAATTTATGTATCAGATAGTTGGCTTTTTAAGTAATTATTAATCTTAATGACTACATAGATAAACAATAAGATACACTAGTTGGTTTCCGTATTGTAAGAGTTAAGGTACTATTATATAAAGTAATAAACCGAAAATAGAAGAAATTTAAAGTTCTCAGAAATTTCCGTTTTACTGAAGCTTTATTCGCTGCTATTAACTCAACCGGTGCTGTTCATCGCTGCCCAATAAAACTTCAATAGCCAGCGAAAACCATCGACTGATTTTACGCAGTCCGCAGCGAGGCAAGGCCAGGGGGAAATCGAGGGAAAAACGCACGGGAAAAGGGTGTGGGTGTGGGTGTGGTGTGGGTGGCGGAGTGGGGCTACTGATTGTGCGGTTGTTGTTACAATTGCTGGCTCTGTTGTCTCCGCCGCGACTGTTGTTCTTGCAGCTCGCACGTGATGAGTGCAATAATGAAGGCGGCGGGAGGGTGGAGAGTGGGAGCGGGTCGGGGTTGGGGTCGCCGGGGACAACGGTGATTTGGCAATCAAAGTGATTAGCGAGGAAGTGATTGGAACGACGAACGACGGACGACGGCGACTGTGGTGCCACAAACGCTGACTGAAAGGGCTACCATTTGGAGTACTGCAAATAATACTCGAGGGTTCTGCTGAATTTTAAGTAAGAGTGATTGGGGGGAAATCGAAAACTGTAATGGAAAATGTGCGTAAGTAATAGTAATGCAAATAAGGATATTTCCAAAGCTAATGTCATAAGTAATTGCATCTATAATTCGTAGGAATTGTAGAAGGAAATCAATAATTTAGATTTTCTATAATTGATTTAATCAAAGGAAATATGATGAATTGAGGCATTAAAGAGTATAAATATATAATTTTAGTATTGTTTAACATGGTTTAATATTTGACTATCTGCTTTAATTTAGCGGTGTTTTAAATCACACATTTACAACATATTAACTTCGACTTGCTTAAAATGCTTTTAGTCAAGCAGATTCCTGCCTGTCCAATACATTTATTAGATAACAATTTATACACATTTAATTGTTACTGATTTAATTGGAATTTATAGATAAATAATTTATCATAAGGCTTAGTAATAATGTGAAAAATATGCTTTCAAAGATTTATGAGCTACAATGCACACATGTGTAAATATAACATTTGATAATCGCTTTAATTAATTGCATTAATAATGTGAAATTAAACTAATTCAGTTGTTTAGCTTTTCCGCATGTTCCCCCTCTAATCAGTGCAATGCGTGTGAGAAGTCACTGTAACCCAATTTGGTGAATGAACTGTGAGAATCTGCTCATATATAATCCCCTCGCAACACGCAACTGATTCAACTATGCGACACCTTTGCTTTACCTGTGCTCGTAGCTTATTTCAGGGGAAATAATGCACGAGATATTGGCTGGGAGAGTTGTTGCTGCCACCGATGTTGCACCCACGTCGCCACTGCTGTTGCATTGCTCTTAATTTTGGGTTTCAGTGGCCGAGGGGGCGTCACGTATCTGCCGCTGCCGCTGCGATGTAATTATGGAGCGCACATGTGTTTGCTGATTAGGCGATAGGTGGGCGTGGCACCGATTTGTATGCAGCCCCTTTCCGGATGTACTATTTGGTTTTTTTGTGCTCTATCGACGCGTGACCGGCAGTTGGTGCGATGTTTGACTTGCAATTAATTCCGAATATATACAACTCATTATCAAATTTGTCGCGAATTTGTGTGTCCTTCGGTGTTATCCTCAATATCCTTAGTTGTTGGGTGGATTTACTGCAGTTGTTGCGGTGTGCTTACGCTCTAAAAGAGATATTGTCTGGTTAAATAGAAATTAATGAGAGAAGGCAAGCATTGGAAGGGGCAATAAACAATGGTCGAATGTATATACTAATTTAATTTAATTTGAAAATGAAAGCAATACTCATAGAGGAAATCTGAGGAATTATTCTGCTGCAATTAAACCAAGGATAAATATTTAATAACATATTCACAAAATCATTTCGAGTTTATCTACATTTCATTTGTTAATATTAGCTTCCAGATTACATCTAAATTCCTTTATATTTACTCAATGGTATTTAAGGTTTAATGTGAAACTAATCTGGTTAATAACCAGGCTGACCAGACTTCTCCTAGAAGTTTAGATTATGTCTTCCTTGGAGACAAGCTCATTTGCAAGTTACAGGCTACCTGATGCATCTCCAATTTAACACCCAAACTCCCCAACCCCAACTTAACCCATGCTGAACACAATTTGCGTATGGAGCTCAACTAACGAGATGGGCGGCATGAATGGGCCCTTTCCACTCCTCTTGTGAAATGCAAACCAATTTGCGGCAAGTGACTCGGTTGCCATCGTGACACATGCGCGGACATGGCCAGTGCCTTCTCCTTGTACACTTGGCAAAATATATAACAAAATAGAAATAACTATATGAAGTAATATAGAGATAGTGTATCTCAGAAATGACAATTATGTGAGAAATAATTAGCAAAGGGTTGGTATAATGAATCCCAAATCTGTATTAGAACATTTGTATCTATTAGAATATTTCAAAAATATATTTGTTATGGTAGTAGATATCTCAATCTTATTTATATTAAATTTTAATTTATTCGAGTGTCTTTTTCGCGACTGTCAGCTCTGGACTCGAATGATGTATTGCTTCCGAATATGATGACGAGACGCGTTAAGGAGGGAAAAATCTGTACTGAAATCTGGCTGCAATGGGGAAACGGCGACCAGCAGTCGCCGCCGTTGACGTCAGTCGTGTCATGGGCCACGCTGGAAATTTATTGCCACAGTTGTTAAGTACGAAATGCGTCGTAATTAGTTGCAACTTGAGTTATTTGCGCAACATTGCAGCCCCGGGGAGGCAGGCAGGAAGGCGGTGGGATCGCAGCAGCCCTAATGAGGCTCTCCCCATTCGCACATTAGACACGTACGTCTCTGTTCTTTGCTTACATTTTAAAATGCATAAATTCGAGTTTGCCATAAATTTCATGGTCCGCCGTCGCCTCTGCCACTCGTGGCATGCCAATGAGTAAGTCCGCTGCCAAATCGCGGACTTGATCCCGACTCTCGGCTATTTATCAGGAAATTGTTTATTATATTGCGGGAAAGAGAGCTTTTCATGTGCACCCCACCCATCGTGGGCGACGCATGCTTTATGGCCAGTGACATCCTCGGGGGAAGCACCCTTTTGCCTCTTTTTTTTGGCCATATGTCTGGGCCAAGGCGTGGGAAAGTTCCCTACAGGCGAACAACGACCAGCGATGACTGGGATCCTGATTTATGCCACAGATTGGTGCGATACAAACGTGCCAACGATGGCTTCAGATGGAGAATGGAGCCTGCTCATGGGGTGACTATGGGTTATGAATCATAATTTTTTTGGCAATCATGAACCCCTCAAAGAAAGCCCTCAAAGAAACAATTTTTACTTGAGCTCCATAAAACATGTAATCTAAAAGACATCTATTATGGTCTAATAATACGTATAAATAGATAGATCATTGCAATGTAAATACTAATAGCTTCAACTTCCCAACTTTGGTTTAAAGTATCAAAATTAATTTTAAATACTGGTTTTCAGACTCATCCTTCCCAGCGATCTGCCATTTGTGCCCAGCCCCATTTCCCGGCTAATGTTTACTCAATTCCCAACCAGGCGGGATGAAAATAGAGCAACTTCCACCGCCCGAGCTCCCACGTTCTGAGCCTGCTGTGTGTGTGGGCCACCCATGAACCCGCCAAGTATTTGTCAGAAATGATTTTCACGTTGCTACTAAAACAGCGGATCCCATTTCCACGCCCCAAAACTCCCCTACTCCGGACACCCACATGCGACACGATGGAGTCTGTTCCAATTATCCCGCACTCGAATATCAAATTAAGTGCCCAATGCTATGACAGTTTTAATGTCTTTAGCACCATAAAAGCCGTGCACTCACAGAAGGGGTGGCAGAGTTGGAAAAAACCAGCAGAGGGGACACATGGATATTTGTATAAATATAATCCAACGGATGGAGCAAACTAAAAACTGAAATCCAACCACAATGGCTGTGGAAATACGAGGAGGGCAACACCTACGCAATAACCCGGGAATTCATCTCCGTCACGAGGGGGGGAAAAAATAGAAAATGACATGGAAATTCCTTTTCCTGACGCCGTGAAAAATGCTAAATTTTACTTTTCACGGAGCTGGGGAATGATTTTTCATAAATAGGCAAAAATGCGGTTGGGATTTCTCACCCAACCCCAGAGGGATTCCCAAAAAAAGGGGCAGTGGAATCTCCAACAGCTGCTGGTAATTAATGTCTGGCCGCGTTCAATGCACTGGATAATCGCGCTGCTGGGGCCACAACTCTTTCCCCCAAAATCTCGGCAAATAAATCTCAGCCGAGGGTGGAACAGAGTTAT